TACATTATGATTAATAATTAAGACCAAAACAGCCATGATATTTTCAAAGAGATGTTATTTTGAAATAAAATTATTACATTAGAATTACTATTAGGAAAATATGTAGGGTTTTTTTTTACTCAAACTCTTATACATATTTCTTTTATAAACCTTACCATCATTATAATTGAATAATAATTAATTCTGTGTTTAATTTCTCTTTTCCCCTACTTGTCCATAAGGGTATTGACTGTCCTCTATAACTTACTGTTGTATCCCTATTGCATAGCACAATGTCCAACACATAACTGGCATTTTTAAAAGAAGTGTTGACAAATGAATAAAAATTTATTAAAAGTTTATTATAATTATTAAAGGTCCACATTATGGTTGCATAGAAAGGGGCAGAAGTATATTAAATTTACCATAAGGCAATGTGGTAAATGCTTTTTAGTAATATGAACAAAATGCTATGAGACACAATGAAAGGGTTAGTTAAAGCTGCCAGCAAGTAGGAATGTGTTAGAAGGCTTCAACAAAGAGATGATAAATCCCAGTATGTAATACATCTGCTGTATCACCCCTATGGCTAGTAATCTCAAAAATCCACAGGGTTCTCTGTTAAGATTTATGGAAATGAAATGTACTCTATTCTAACACAAAGTCTAACATGTAAGGTTTAACAGCCTCCATAAAATAAGATAAGCCCTTTTCTAAGATTTTGCCACTGGTAGAGTTTTCTAAAAGTATCATTTACTGCTTGTTCTCCTCTAATTTCCCTCTAATTCCTCTCCCAAAAATTCCCCCTCACACATTGGGAAGAAATATAAGGCAGTAAGTTAGATAAACAAGCCTAATATGATTTTAGAAGGGTTGAAATCTGTGAAATATATCTATAGTTATTTCCATACTTTATAAGTAATGACTAAAGAATAACACATAATTTTCAATAAGTTACAAAGAACATTTGTGTTACATATCTAAAATTTAACCCATAATATTATTTATTTAAAGTCTTCAAAAACAAGTATGGTGGTAATATAGTTCTTTAAAAATTAAAAGTCAACTTAGAATTACAAAAATAATTTTAAAAAATGATTCAAAACCAGGCGCGGTGGTGCATGTCTGTCATCCCAGCACTTTGGGAAGCCAAGGCAGGCAGATCATGAAGTCAGGAGTTTGAGACCAGTGTGACCAACATGGTGACACCCTATCTCTACTAAAAATAAAAAAAGTAGCCAGGAGTGGTGGTGTGCACCTGTAATCCCAGCTACTCAGGAGGCTGAGGCAGGAAAATCGCTTGAACCCAGGAGGCAGAATTTTCAGTGAGCCAATATCGCACCACTGCACTCCAGCCTGGGCGACAGAGTGAGACTCTGTCTCAAAAAAATAATAATAATAATAATAATTCATCTTGCTTCTTTATCACTTAACTGAAGAACTGAAGAATAAATAACCTAATAAAAGTGGCTTGAAAATCTTAATGTTTTATATATTCTAAATAAAAGAGATTTACATATTCTAAATTAATTTGTAAAATATCACGGAATTCCAATTCCAGAAATGTGCAGCTTCTAGCATATTGCCATTTTAGGTTTGTTTTGTTTTGGTACATTAATGAACACTGATTATTATTATCTTATTTAGCTATTCTAAACAAAGAGACATAAATTAATCATAAAATATTATGAATTTCAATTCCCTTATTTTCAAATTCTGGAAAGTGTTGATGCTATAATCATCTTAAAACTTTATTCATTTGGATAAATGTTTCCTTAGTATTACCACAAGATGTCACTCTAAGCCTAGCATCTAAATGTGCAGCATCTAGCATATTGCTGTTTCAGGATTTTTTTTTTATTTTTTGCATTTGGTATGGGTACACTAACGAACACCAACTACTGTTTTTCAAAAACTTAAAGTGATTTTTTCCACTTTCAGTTACTGGCAAATAAAAAATCAAAACAAATAATACAGGGACTCTAGAAGAAAGGAGGAAGAAAGTTAATCAAACAGTTCATCATTCTCCATGCTTATCAGGTATCTTGTTACTTACCATAAAAGCAATGTATCTAACCATTGAATTTTATATGATTTTACTTTATTTTTAAAAATATCAAAAATTAATGAATGTTATTTTTATAATCAAAGTTATGTTATCACAGAACTCATTTATAAAATTCTTTTACACACTGTAATACCAGTGACAGTTATGTACACAGAATTCCTCAAAGAATATACCATCTAAAACATGCTAGTATTTTTTTAAGCATATGATGAAGGACCACAAAAGGAAGACATTATTCATTTTATGGTGATGCTTTTCAGCTGGGGGCAGTGGCTCAAGCCTGTAATCCAAATACTCTGGGAGGTTGAGATGGGAGAATCACTTGAGCCCACGAGTTCAAGACCAGCCTGGGAAACATAGAGAGACCCTATCTCTACTAAGAATTGAAAAATAAAGGCCAGGTGCGTTTGGTTCATGCATGTAATCCCAGCACTTTGGGAGGCCCAGGTGGGTGGATCATGAGGTCAGGAAATCAAGACCATCCTGGTCAGCATGGTGAAACCCCCTCTCTACTAAAAATACAAAAAAATTAGCCAGGTGTGGCAGCACGCACCTGTAATCCCAGCTACTCAGGAGGCTGAGGAAGGAGAATTGCTTGAACTCAGGACGCAGAGGCTGCAGTGAGCCGAGATCGCGCCACTGCACTCCAGCCTGGGCGAGAGAGCGAGACTCCATCTCAAAAATAAATTTAAAAAATAAAATAAAATAGAGTGATGATTTTCATCTGTAGAGAGAGGGACTGGTTTCCTTGTCACATGTAAATATTACAGCATGTTCTGCAGTAATAGTATTTTATTATCCATTTGTGTTTTCTACATTATGATTCCCTTCTATTTCTACAGCTAATGAGAGTCGCGCAAGGTACTATTTCAATGTGTTGGCTATGTATTGGCCAGAACAATGGGTGAAACCACTATCTTGCATTACTTGTAACAGGAAAAAAAAAAGGGTAGGGTGGGGTGGCGGAGTTGGTTCAAACAGAATGCAAATTATAGACCATAACAATGCCCTATATTTCAATGACTCCCTACCTATCCTTTACAAAGATATACATCCTCTCTAGGATGCACAAGTCTACATGGCTTTTCTTCTTTTGTGTCCTTAAAGAAAACACACAGTGAGACCACTCAAACATTCAGTAATAACAGATTACTAATCAGTACATAGGTGCCCACATTTAATTCAATAGAAAATTATGTTTTGTTGTATAATGTTGCTCTATTGTTTGCATTCTGGTTTACCCTAAAATGACTTCTAAAGACCAGCTGAAGTAAATCCATCCATTCAAAGCTGGGCACTGGGATTACTTACATAACAGCTTTTTACAGATTATTGTTGCCTCTAATTTTACTAGAGAAATTCAAACTACACTATTGGCTTTAAGCCAAGATATTTATCATTCACTTAAAATAATGGCAAAATACAATTCTTTGTCACTCATTTGTCTTTGTATTCCCTAGGTAATGGTGTTACATTATCAAATGATTATAATATTAAAAATATAGTAGAGCTATCTAAACTATCCAAAAATACCCTTTCTAAATCAAGTTCTCAAAAATTCAAACTCTCAAAAGACTTAGCCAGTCTTAAGTAAACACATCATACAAATCTGTTAAGATACACTGCCATTTAGTTAATGACCTTTTGCTAATTATCAACTATTAATAAATAACACTATTCATTTTAGTTGAAAATTTGATGTTTAAAAATGTTCTCAAAAATATTATCTTTAATGAATATAAGGTTTATTCAAATTCTGTAAGACTCCACTTAGAATTGTTTTTATTTAATACCAGCTAAGATGATTACAGTTGTGTCATTAATTCTTGCTAGCCACAATAAAATAGTTTTTAATCCACAGGCAAAATAATCCTATAAAGCTTTATACTTCTATTTTTATTCAATAGACTGATTTTCAAATTTTCAAAATTGAATAATTTTTAAAATTACATTCAAACTATAAAGTTGGAGTTTTTATCAAAAAGTATATATATTTATAATAAAAACAAAGTATTTTCATATAATTAAGCCTTATAAGTTCCTATTTTTGGATTTTTCATCAATAATAACCAGCATGAAAAAGCAATAAAAATATCTAGCAGACTCAGTTATTTCTTTAAAATTATTTAAAATCAGTTATTCATTTAAATCCAGTAAAATATATTGTATAATTCAGTGGGTTTTTCATTGTTTCGTTAGTTGGTTGTTTTTTTGGGAAAAGTATTTGTTTATTTATATATTTTGCTAATTTATTTTACTTCCTAAAATATGAAAAAAGAATTAAAAGCTATTTCCATAAATATAAGAGATGTATGTATAAAAACATATATAAAGCAAGCATATCCTTAATGTTCTTTACCATCTTTAACAAATAGGAGAATAAATATAAGATTAAACATTATATGGTAAGCTTCATGACAAATTGGTAAGAATTCCAAAGCATTGAGATTTTCATCAATGAACTTTTCAATTCTGGATCATAAACTTTCCTAAGACAAGCAAGAAAGATGAAAAGATGTTTTTATTTTTGTTTTAAGAAGAGAGCAAAAGTATAGCTTTGATTCTGAGTAGAATGTGAACCATCATTGTTATGTTACACAATTCCTTCTCTGGAGGAAGACAGCTTCCTTCTCTAGCATATTTGTCCTCAATGTTTTATAACAAACTACTCAGGGTTTTCTTCTGTGTAAACTTTTCCTCCCATACAAAACATTCTTTCAATATTTATTTCTTTCAATAACCTCTTTTTATTTATATTTTCAAACAATTCCTTTCTAGGTTAACCTTATATAAGAAAAAGGAAAAAAAAAAAAAAACAATTCTTCCATTCCTGTGTTAAAGAAAATTATCCCAGTTTGAAACTTGGTTAACATCAGGTTCTTTGACCACATTATTCAAACTATCAAGCCCAATTCTGACCATTAAAATGATTAATATTTATCATAATACATACCTAGCAAAGCTTGGAATAAGCTGCTCTTAAAGATACCCATCACCTTTTTAACTGCATTTTTCAACAACTGCTCCTCTGGTTTCCTTAATTTTTTGCAGTATTCTTCCAGTAATGATAAAGCTCGGTCAGTATCTGAAAAACATGATATTATTATTATATTTTATGGTCTTAGCAAAATAGAAAGCTAACATTAAACTATTCTATAATTGTATTCCTAACTTAATGACATGAAATAACTTAATAAGATAATCATAATTTCTATAAACTACCATATGAAATTAATAATTATACTCAATGGCCAATTTCAACAATCCAGTTTTCTTTCTATAGTCCTGTCTTCCAAAAGAATCTCTAACTGTAAAACAAAACAAAGAATTCAATCCTGGCCACAATGTTCAGGTTAGATATAATTCTCTCTTGTCAGAGACACTTATCTTAAAATTAATGACTTCCTGCAAAATAATATCCAACTTCCTTAACATGAACTTTGAGGCCTCCCTCCCATGATCATATATTTTCAGCCTTATTTCCCATATATAGTCCACACTCTCCAAACACGCATACAGTGCCTAAGTCATACTGGATTACTCACTTTTCCCTTCCATTTTTCTCTACACACATGCATGCACAGACACCCACACACACACACACGCGCACACATGTGCATACTTTCTCTCTACCCCACCTCTCTCTTTCTCTCTCTCTCTCTCTCTCTACTTTTTCTCACCTCTGTACTTTCCTTTTCTCCTACTGTTCCCTGTGCTGGTATATCTTCCCCTATACCACTGTATATACCCCCTAGAATCAGTGTGCTATCTTGAAAAGGGGTCCTCTCAGGTAAATCTGGGTATGACCCAGATCTTACTTACTAGCTGTGTGTGACCTTTAACAAGTTCCTTAACCTCTCTGAGCTTCAGTTTCCTCACAGGTATTACGATTAAATGAGACAATATATGCACAATCCCTAGCACACAGAAAATAATCAAGTAAGTCAACTGAACACCTACTTTCTCTTCAATTAGATCTAACTCAAATGTTCTCTCTTCCATAAAGCCATCTCTGATGGTTAAAATTAATCACTATCTCCTCTTCTTCTAAACCATTTTGCCTATATGAATTTGTTGGCAGTCTTAATCCATATCTTATTATTTTATGACTTCTTGAATAACGTCTTCATCCTTCACAAGACAAAACATCCTTGAAAAAGTCACTAGACTTACACAAACTTTGTGTTTAGGTGATAATTGTCTTTGAATTTTAAAAGCCCTCCTTCCCTTCCAATCTACCACTTTCAAAAAATGCCTAAATACCAATTATAATAACAATAGCTTATATTTATTTTATATTTCCTCCTTTCTCTTGAACCTTCCAACTCTTCTTCCTCATGGCCATTCTCAGCTGATGGTATTACTTCCTATTACATGGAAAATCAGAAGGCAGATTCCACAAGCTCCTAACATAACATCTACTGACTTACCTGTAACTGTACCCACAGAGTCTGCCTTCCCTTATTACTATGAATAAAGAATTTGTGTTTCTAAGGTCAACTCCTCTACTTGAGCACTGGAATCTATCCTGTCTTGCTTACTCAAGGAAATTTTTCCATTATCAATTGTTTTCTTTTCCACTCAATCATCCCATGATTACTAAATCCAGTGGTCAATTATCAATCATCTCATTTGGCCCATAAGCATCATTTGATATTGTTACACTCTTGAAAACCCTTTTTTCACTAGGTTTCCACACAGAGGTGTGCTGGTAAATATTTATTTATTTATTTATTTATTTTTTCTGACAAGAACCCCCCTCCCCCTGCTTCCGTAAATATTTAAAAACTAGTTCAGATAAAAAAGAAAACATGTGCACCTACATGCACATGAGTTTGTTATAATTTTACTGACACAAGGATGTATAGCAACCAGTCTACAAATAATAACAAGATATACAATCTTTAATTGTAAATTCCATTAGTCAGTTGATTCTCAATAATATTTGCATTGGTTTTTACCAAATTATTATATTCATAGCCAACTTAGGGTTGTAACTGATGAATGAATAGTTCCAACATAAATGTGGTTTATGTTGCCATGTTAATTAATAAAATGAAAATAAAACAACAAAGATAGTTTTTGTGAAAACTTCACTCTATCAATTATGTTATTTGCCGAATCAATAATAATTTTTGAATAGTGAACAAATATTTCCTCCATTTCTGTACTAATCTCAAAGTAACAGCAATGGCACAAAATGCTTTTAACTTGTGCTTAAATTATTAACATTTACTTTATCACTTTCTTATCAGCAAAACAATAAATCAAACTCAAATTTGTAGCATTTCCAATTTCCAAAGTCTAAATATTCCCACCATGGCCAATTTCAAGCTACCAACATGATGTCTCTAAACACGGATCTGGGAAACAGATGCATAGCAGCATACCATTATGTAGCTTATCCACCGCACAGATACAATCAATGTAAATAACTCAAGAGCAGAGATGGTATCAAAATGAAAAATAATTAAGAATTGATGACTGTTGAGTATTTATTACTTTTTAATATAATTTATGTAAGTTTATGTGTAATTATTTTTGTTAGAGATGGCGTTTCCCTACATTGCCCAAGTTAGTCTTGAACTCCTGACCTTAAGCAATCCTCCTGCCTTGACCTCCCAAAGTGCTGGGATTACAGGCATGAGCCACCATGCCTGCCTGGCCCACAGTTTATGCATAATTTTTAAATGATTGCGTTTAACTTTTTTTTTTTTTCTTTTTTTTGAGATGGAGTCTCGCTCTGTTGCCCAGGGTGGAGTGCAATGGCATGATCTCGGCTCACTGCAACCTCCACCCCCAGGTTCAAGCAATTCTCCTGCCTCAGCCTTCTGAGTAGATGGGACTACAAGTGCATGCCACCACACCCAGCTAATTTGTGTATTTTTAGTACAGACAGGTTTTCACCACATTGGTCAGGATGGTCTTGATCTCTTGGCCTTGTAATCCACTCACCTCAGCCTCCCAAAGTGCTGGGATTACAAGTCTGAGCCACCGTGCCGGCCTCAACATTTTTTAAATGGCTGTATTTTCTTGCAAATTTGCTGAGAATTTAATGATAAGCTCTTGCAAGCTGATATGAGCCATCTCCAGCACACCATTATTTCCAAGGTAGCACTCTCTCCCAGATTGTCTTCCTACTTGATGGATGCCTTTTCTCAATCACATTTATTAGTTTCCCCTAATTTCTCAATGAGGGTTTAGGATGTTTAGGGTACCTCTAAACATAGTAAGACTTCTTTTCTTTAATCTTACTCACTGGGTAATCTTACCCAGTCTCCTTGATAATCTTACCTAATTCCCTAGCTTTAAATATTATCAGCACCCTCAAGACTTCCAAATTTATATCCGTAGCTCAGAACTTTGCCCTGAATTCCAGACTCATATCCAACTGAATGCTCAATGTTTCCATTTGGATGTCTAATAAGCATCTCAAACTTCACTTGTCAAAACTGAACTCCAGATCTTATCCACCCACCCTCAATCTGCTTCTCCTCCAATGTATCTCCATCTTTCATCCTTCTAATTATTCAGGCCCAAATTCCTGAAGTCAGCATTCATTCTTTTCTCTAATTCTCTACATCTATTCATCAGTAAATCCTATGGGCTCCAACATCAAATTATATGCAGAACGCCATCACTTCTCCCTACCTCCAGTGCCACCACCCTGGCACAACTCATCATCATCTATCCCCTACATTACTGCAATAATGTTCTACTAGTTTACATGCTGTAACCTTTGCCCTCCTATAGTCTTTTCTCCTTTTTTTTCTTTTTTCTTTGTTGTTTTGTTTCTTTGTTTGTTTTGGTTTTTGGTTTTTTTTTTAAGCAGGGTCTCTCTCTGTCACCCAGATGGGAGTGCAGTGGTGCAATCACTGTGCATTTCAGCATCAACTTCCCAGGCTCAAGTGATCCTCCCGAATCATTTTTTGATTTTTGATTTTTCTGTAGAGATGAGGTCTCACTATGTTGCCCAGGCTGGCCTACAGTCTTTTCTAAACACAATAGCCAAAAATATCCTTTCAAGTCATCAACTAGATTATGTCATTCCTCAACTCAAACCCTCAAGTGTCTCCCCATCCCACTCAGAGCAAAGGCCCACCTCTCTGACTTCAGCTCTTAGACCTCTACTCTTGCTCAATCTACTCCAACCACAGTATCTCTGCTCAAACATACCAAGAACTCTCCAAATCATGGCCTCTATACTTGTGATTCTGCCTATAACACTCTTCACTCAGGTATCCACAAAGCTTGCTCCTTCACTTCTGTTATATCTCTGCTTATATATCATCTTAGCAGTAAGGCCTTCCATAATACTCCTATATAACATAGCAAACTTCAAGCTTATCCCCTTGAAAGAAATGAGAATTTCAATTGGGCAATAAGAGATGGAGGAGGACACTGTGTAACTACCTCTCTTCTTTTTTTTTTTTTTTTTTTTTTTTTTTGAGACGGAGTCTCGCTCTGTCACCCAGGCTGGAGTGCTGTGGCCGGATCTCAGCTCACCTCTCTTCTATCTAGTAACATTAGAAATATAGAAATAAATGTGGATGAACAGAGAGCTCACTCCAATTTATGTTAACAAAGAATGGTGATATAAATGTATGCTAATATATTTGTATAAACTTTAATTTTTAAAAATGATTTCACACTTTACTTGCATGTTTTTAACAACTCTGAATCAAGGACAAATATTTTAATCCCCATTTTGTCAATAATTAAACAATCAGCAGTTTCCCTGAAATAACAGTGGCTCACTTTCTAACCCATCCCTACCCACTATTTACAAATATAAATAGTTACACTACTTACCATTGTAGGTGATCAACAGTACAATAACTATACTATACCTCCCTCTCTACTTATATGTATCTGTGGTCTCTAATCATGTGATTACCTCTAGTGCCCAAAGCTTTAGTCTTTTTCATTTCCTCATTAAAGTCTGCTGACATTTTTTGGAAAACCTACTAAGTGCTGAGCACCTTTTTCTTTTCTTTTTTTTTTTAATACAATTATAACTAAAGCCTTTTTTTTTAATTTTTTTTTTTTTAGCTTCTGTGGCATTGTTGTAGGTATTACTTTAGT